ATTAAAGGCTGGCTTTCTGGGATTAAAGGCGTGTCACCATGCTTGGCTATTTCCAATGTGGCCTTGAACTCACAGAGATCCAAAGGGATTTCTATCTCTGGAATGCCAGGATTAAAGGTGTGTGCTATCACCGCCTACCTAGTGGCTTTTCTGTTCTCTGACCCCAGATAAGTTTATTAAGGTACACAACATTTTGGGGAACACAATACCACCACATCTTCTAATGGTCTTTTTTTTAAAATAAAGATTTATTTATTTTTATCTTATGTATAAGAAGTTCAGAAGAGGGTATTGGGTCTCCTGGAACTGAAATTACAAGTGGTTGTGAGTCACCGTGTGGGTCCTGGGAATCGAACCCGGGTTCTCTGGAAGAGCAGCAAGTGCTCTTAACCTCTGAGCCACCTCTCCAGCCCCTCTAAGGGTCTTAAAATGAAGTCAACTGGGCATTAGACCTGTAATACCTTAAGCAAATATTGTATATAAATGTTCAACATTGACCCAAGCATGGCGGCTCATACCTGGACTGTCAGCACTTGAGAGGCTGAGTCAGCAGGGGTGCGAGTCGCAGGCCAGCCTGAGCTACATAATTTGTTCAAAGCAGCTGGGCTGTATAATGAGTTTAAGGACAACCTAGGCTACACAGTGAGTTTGGGGTAAACCTGAGCTATATAACAAGACCCTGTCTCCATAAATGCATGCGTGCGTGCATATACAGATCCATATATACTTAACAGATAAGACAGGTGAAGACATATGAAGTGAGAATGAAAATTATTTTCACATTCACTTATTTTCTTTTCAATGTGTACAAGTGTTTGGCCGTGTATGCCTGGTGCCCTGGGCGGTGAGAAGATGACACTGGATTCCCTGGAACTTGAGTTATGGGATGGCGTGACTCACCATGTGGATGCTGGAATCGAACCCAGGTCCTCTGCAAGAGCAGCAAGTGCTCCTATCTCCTGAGCCATATCTCCATCTCTTAAAATACACATTTTTTGAAGTTGTATATTATAGAAAGACCCTTTAATCTTTAACAGTTCATCCACATTGCATAAAAAAAAAAACATTCAATCTAAAGAGTGAAAAATTCTGACCTAAATGTCAGGCAGTGGTGGTGCACACCTTTAATCCCAGCACTTGGGAGGCAGAGGCAGGTGGATCTCTGTGAGTTCGAGGCCAGCCTGGTATACAGAGTGAGTTCCAGGAAAGGCACAAAACTACATAGAGAAACCCTGTCTCGAAAAACAAATATGTGTGTGTGTGTGTGTGTGTGCGTGTGTGTAAAGAGAGAGATTTGAATCTATTCATTAAAACTGTTATTAGATAATTGAGGGTAAATATGATCAAAATACATTGTATTCATGAATGAAATTGTCAAAATTAAAATCAGCAAAGACAAACAACAACAAAACGCC